TTTTTTTTTTTTTTTTTGTTTAAAGAAACAGAACTTTCGTTAATATTATGAAAAGATACATGCCAAGCTACAAATAACTCCTATTTGGTTGGGGTAGATTGAAAGGGCTTCCCAATTATGAAAGAGTACAATTTGAGTAATTGCTAAAGTGCTTATAAAGAGTACTCCAGAAGAAATTCTGCAGGGTCGTTTTGTTCCAAGGCTGAAATTTTCTTCATAAGTTTTTTGGTTTATTTCAAACTAAAGTTCCCAAATAAGAGCATTTAATGTAATTGATCCTGAAGAATTGTCTTTGCAATTTAACTTCAACCCACATAAAAGTTGGAAAATGTTGTCACTGGAGCTGGAGCTTATAAAACCGCTCTAATCAGTATTGACCTAGTTACTCAAGTACTTGAACAAAATGCTCCAATAAGATGCTATAAAACATTAAAAACTTGAAATTCTTGACAAGTTCTCATTTATACCAACATTTTGCTCGTTTGCATCCAATAAGAAACTCAAACAAAGATTGCTAATCTGTGCATAATTCTAATTAGTTTAAGGCATATATCCTCGACTAAGAGGTCAAAGCTTTGAATCCCCTCATCCCCACATGTTATTTGAAATTGAATTTAAAAGGTAAAAAAAGATCATCATTACTACAAAAAGTTACTCCTGGTAGAATGAAGACATCAATGAAATTCCTAAATGAAGTGATCAAATATCCCTTGACCAGCAATTTCATAAAATATTTAATTTAATCCAAGTTGAATCGATATCCTAACCTTTATCTTCATTTGTAGTTGTGTATTCATTTGTTATCTGGTGTTTGTTCGATGATATCAAATTTAGTATTGTTATTTTCTTGAATTTGTTTTTAGCTGAAATTAGAGAGCGTGATTGGTGCAATGTGGTTACATGTCATGTTGATACTCCACAAGCATACGTATGGAGACTTCAAAACTTTGTTCTCGGCGAGCATATCTTGAAACCATGCCCAGAAAACCCGACGCCAATTAAGGTTTGTTCAAGATGATGTCACTTTCACCCTGTTTTTAGGCATCTGTATATAATATGACATATAGTTAGGGAGAAAAAGAAATGATATATGGTTCACATTATACGATTTCCTAGTGATTTCACTTTTCTATAAGGGTTGAAACTGTATCTATTAATTTTGTTGACCGTATTTTGTGGTATGAAAAATGATTTATGCTAATTTGTGATGAAAACTGGGGTCCAAGAGTTGAGTATGGGTGTGTTTCAGTCATTATGGTGATAAATTGTTTATTGGCCTTCTCTGTTGTTTGGGTGGATCTGTAAGCTGCAAAAAGATGTGTGCATGTTCCCTGATTCTAAATGTATATATAATTACTAGCATATTCTTTTTGTTTTAAATTGTCCGTTGAAATACCTAAAACTTGATATACTTGGTGTATGATTATTTCATAATGAAAAAAAGAATATTTATTTCTGAACATTTTTGGTCACTTTGATGTTAATATAATATTTATTTCTGTTGATGAAAACCCTATATGATACTTCATCTGGACAACAGGCTTGTGCAATCAGTGCATGTGGAAATTTTGCTTTCTTAGGGACAGAAGGTGGTTGGATTGAGCGATTCAATCTTCAATCGGGTGCTAGTAGAGGTAGTTACTTGGATAAAAAGGAAGGAAGAAACGCTGCACATATTGGAGAAGTTGTCGGTCTTGCTTGTGATTCTACAAATACCCACGTTATAAGTGCAGGAGTTGGTGGAGATATAAAGGTTTCTATTGCATGTCCTTTAACTTAGCAACCAACCAAGACTTGGGCAATCTCAGAGGAGAGTTTGTGATAAGTTCCATTTGTTAAATGTCTTATGTTACAGGTTTGGAATTTCAAGGAGCGTGATCTAAAATCCAGATGGGAAATTGGTAGTTCTGTTGTGAAGATTGTCTATCATCGAGTAAATGGTAACTTCCAGGAACCCAATCTGACCTTGATGACACATTTTCCTTGTTGAATCGTGTTTTTAAGCAGATTTTTTAAACTTGAATTTCAGGACTTTTGGCAGTGGTAACTGATGATTTGGTTATCCGTCTGTTTGACATTGTGGCTTCAAGAATGGTTCGTAAATTTGAAGGTCATACAGATCGTATAACAGATTTGTCTTTCAGTGAGGATGGAAAATGGCTTTTAACATCTAGTATGGATGGAAGTCTTAGAATTTGGGACGTCATTTTAGCAAGGCAAATCGATGCACTACAAGTTGATGCTTCCATTACTGCATTTTCTATTTCTCCAAATATGGATATCTTGGCGACTACACATGTAGATCAAAATGGAGTCTACCTCTGGTAAGTTATCTTGATGGCAATACATATACTCGTTTAGTAAGGCGAATAAGGAGAAGTATAAATGGGGAAAATGATTTTTAGTATTATTTTCTGGAATGAAACGATCTTATTTTTATCTCCGTTGTCTCGTTAATTATGAATTTCATATTTTATCCTTTAGGAACTGTTTTATTTTTAAACTTTACCAAATTCGACCTCTTCCTTCCTCATGATCTTCGTAAAGATTATTTACCGAAAACTGATTTCAGTTAAAACAAATTTGGAAACCTTTCAAGCAGGCTATAGTTAGTTGTTAATCAAGCAGGCTATCGAATATTTAGTTACATAGATATTGAAGACATGCTTAAAGATTGGAAACTTTTGAATGTTGTACTGAGGAACAAAAAATGATAGTCAGAGGGCTAGAATGTATTGCCATGGGGTTCTTTCCTTTCTGTTTGTAAGACTGCTAAATATTTTTGACTTTTTGACATTTTAGGGTGAATCAATTAATGTTCTCTGGTTCATCAAACGTGGATACCCTTGCAAGTGGAAAGGATATTGTTAATGTTAAATTGCCATCAGTCTCCTCCACAGAAGGAATGGAGTTCGAAGATCGCAACGAGAATCCTTCAAAACCTCCTGAATCTAAAGATTTATCAGGCTTTCACATCTCTAGCCAGCAAATCCCAGATTTAATTACACTTTCACTGTTGCCCAGAAGTCAGTGGCAGAGCTTGGTCAATTTGGACATAATAAAGGTATGTTCTTATTCTTACTTGATTTCCTCCATTGCACACAGACAAAAAAGAAAATTTATGTACTAATGCCTTTTTTTTTTCATGAATTTTCAACGTCCAGGCCCGTAATAAACCAATCGAACCTCCAAAGAAACCCGAAAAGGCTCCTTTCTTCCTGCCATCTCTTCCTTCTCTCTCTGGAGAAATACTATTTAAGCCTTCTGAGTCAGCAAACACAGAGAGAGCAGAAAAGGGAGTTGATAATGAAGAACACAAAAAATCGGATATAACATCGTCTCAATTCTTGCAGATTCTTGAATCTTCTTCTGAAGTACAGAACTGTAAGTTAGCACAGTGTTTGCATTTCTTTGAGATTTTTTGTGCTTTAGCTGTAAACGTGAAGCATTTCTGAAATAATATTATTCCTTTATATTTCAGTCTCAGCCTTTACTGATTACATAAAGGGTTTATCTCCATCAACATTGGATTTGGAACTTCGCATGCTTCAAATTATAGATGACGATGAGCGTCAAGAACCCGAAAAGAGACCTGAACTTATTTCAATTGAATTGCTTCTTGATTATTTCATACACGAAATTACTTGCCGCAACAATTTCGAGTTCATCCAAGCCTCTATCAGATTGTTCCTGAAGGTATGGCTATATCAAAGGATTTCTCAGATCATGACTTCGAACTTCTCTAGTTAAAGAACTGATGGAAGGTTTTGTTAATGAAAAATGCTTCTACTAAATGGCTGCATATTCCTTTTGGCTATAGATACACGGCGAGACGATTCGTTGCCAGTTGACATTGCAGGAAAAGGCAAGGAAACTCCTGGATATTCAGAGCTCAGTATGGCAAGGTTTGGATAAAATATTCCAATCCTCTAGATGTATGGTTACTTTTCTTAGCAACTCACAGTTTTAGGTGTTGTGACTTGGTTGGTTCATCGTAGAATCATGAAAGATCATATTATTTATTGCTGTTGTGACTTGGTTGGTTGGTTCATCGTAGAATCATGAAAGATCATATTATTTATTGCTGTTGTAGATTAGTTTTTTTTTTTTTTTTT